GTTCTCAGATGAGAGTTTCAGTCATTGTGTAAATCTATTCTGCACCTGAGTTACTTTTGGATGATTCATGTAGTTTTTTGTTTGTACCATAGCACAGAAGGGTAATGAGCCCAAGATACCCAAGGCCATGCGTTGGTTGTCCAAAAAATGGCACTCGCCAAAGTCGCATATGTAGATACCTCGACTAGCTGGATTGCTGAACATTGTATGTGAAACCTGAAGTCCCAAATGCGCTATTTTCGATGTTGACCGCTATCTTTCAAAGGAAACGAAATGCAACTGGCACTCAATTTCACAACAGTTTGGCGTTTCACAAGTAATACAACTCAATCCCTCCGTGACAGTTTGTGACTCACCACTTCACCGTACTTCATCACGTGACTATCTATTGTCCTCCTGCTCACCTCCTTGTACTGTTGATCCAGTGTACGCTTTTTCAGGTCATTCTGCGGGCGGGTGAGAGATAGCGACATAGGAGGGCTATGTGAAGCAAACGGATTAGGTTACGCAATTTCAAGAAGGATCCAAAAAGGCAAAACAATGGAAAACCCTAGATATATGGATCGACACATATTACTGATAAATCACTGTTCACTTCACTATTCCAGGACACCATACACATACAACACGACTTTTCCATGGAATCCCTAATTTCCTTCTGCCAAGCAAAGCTCTGTCTACAACTAGGTGTATGACAATCTGGACTGGGCAAGGAGTACAACACCCCTCTTGGAAGCAAGCAACTGGACATGGGTAGCACACGGCAAACTAACTTGGCTTGCAGTGTTGAATGATTATTCGAAAGGAAGTGCCTTCTGCAAGGGCAATATGCTAGTCATTCGGTATTAGGCAAGGTACGCGAGAAAACTGACGACCGAATGAACTTCTATTGCCCCGAATATGCCGCAGACTGAGATTTTTGCCTTATTTCGGCAGATTTTTCTGGAAAAAGCGTTCATAACGTCCATTGCCATCATCATCATCATTAGAAGCATCAGCATCACCCTCAGCGAATCATCATATTCGCCTCCAAAACTGTTGCACGAGTGTCAGTCTTCATGTCGTTATGCGCGCAGAACATTCTGCACACGTAACACATAACCCAGCCAACCTGGCTAGGAAAACCATCACTAGAGATGAGACAAGAGAAGTATGGAACGAGGCATCCTACTAATAAATCACAGGGCTCTCCGCTCCGCCAGTACACAATACACATACACATGTCAATGATTGAACGCCCTAGGGCAATCATCGTCGTCATTGTTGTCATCATCCGTGTTCGAAACTGCTGGTTCCGTGCGTGCATTCAAATTCATTGGAAGTTCTATTAAAAGTAATGAATCAAAGTGGATGAGAAAAAGACTCATTCATTCCGACGCGTCTGCTACCCAAACGCTCACTCATCGATCTGAATAGAATATTCCATCAATAACTCCACTAACAACGATATAAATGAGCACTATTTAGCGTCTTTAACCAGTGACAGGGGCAATCGGGCGATATCTACCCTAGAAGGCTAGTTATACTGATGGCACTCAGGCCTTCGATAACAAGATTATATCTCCCTGCGAGGTCAGATGCTAACCGGATCGAAACTCATTGAGTAATTTTTGACATCAACTAATTGTTTCATTATTTTGGGGCCGCCGGCCGATCGTGACTGCTGAATGTTCAAAAATTTCCTTCATGAATGAAAACAAATTTAAAGGTGGCGGTGGCGGTGGCGGTGGGGATTGGGCTGGTAATGTTGGTGGTTGTAAGCGTCAAAATCGATAAGTCGAGCGACGAGCATCGAAGAATGGGTCCGAATTCAAAACGAAAGTGTTCCCGACGAAAATGTGCTGTGCTGTATGACAAAATATCAATGAACCAACTAATGTACAACAAACCTTGACAGTTATCGACCGACAGTTGGACCCATGACAAGCACGCAGACGAGTATCAAGCGTGAGAAACCAGTTCGAAAAGTGCCAAAAATGTGAATTTAAACAAGTGATAATAGGGTTCATTTGAGGAGCGAAGAACATTTTCATAGTTTGTGTAACGCAGTGTTTTAATGGATGGGATAGAGACGGGGTGATGCGATAATAATAAAATGTCAATGAATATCAGGCAGGAATGGGGGCCTCACATTTGAATTTATGCAATTGAATTCAGGGAGATTGGGTAAGAGAAATTTTCAAGCGTTTTGTGCGTTACAGCGGTGGTGGTGGCGAGTAGTCGCCTGTGGGCTAAAGTGTAAAGTACGGGGCCGGTCTGCCATAAAACTTTGCCGAGCCCGATCCAAGCTTAATTAATCCAGAAATGGAACATCCCACTATGGTAATCCACATGTTTTATCTGCATTCTAATTTGCAGGTTTGGATCGAGTAGACAGGTTCGCGCTGCGCAAGCCACATACTGCACAGTACTCGTTTCCAGATTGAGAGCTGATTAAGCGCAAGCATCGGTGTGCAAGCCTAGGGAGATGCTGGGCGGCATACGCCTGCACCGCGCTTGAGCGAGGAGATCCACGAGCCAAAACAATACATTGGGCCGAGTTTTCACAGATGTCAATAATATTTATTGCCCATCAAAGACACTTGTCCGGAATGTCACCCAAAGATTTAAACTATATAAGGGAGTGTGACCAACTCATTAAGAATACATTTAGTGACAGAATTATGTTCACCACTTTTGATAAAACTCACGTATTCCGAATCCAAGATCCAGGCATACGAGTATTCGGTCGCTAGACAAACATTGATTCGCTTGTCCCTACAAAAAGCAGCCCAGCTTTCTTCATTTTCGTTGGCTGATGTTGTCGCGTAGACTGTAGTTTAAGGGGTTCAAGGAAGAGCAATTATAGATCAATATCAGAACAGTGTGAAATAGTAAGTTATATTATCGGCGAAATGATACTGTGAGTCAGAAATCTTAAAGCTCCAAGAGTTCAAAAGCTAACACATTAATCAAAAGGTCTCTGAAAAACCTTTGACAGAACACCATGGTTTTTACGCTTCTTGGGTTCAAGCGAAAAAACGCAGTACTTGAATTTCGCTCAATCATAATCACTTCTTGATATCAGGCTGCACGGGTTGGGTCAGGCCTTCCACATCACATCAGTTAGTCGATATATGATGTATTTTCTCTAATAAAACACCGTCAGAAACGACCACTGACGGTAACGATCAAAGGTAATCAGGTCACTTGTATCATACCAGTTATCTGATCCGCGGAATTGTACTTCTTTAAATACGCATGGTCCATTCATAAGTTTCAAATACGGTATCCACCTAGTGATAGTGGTTGCTGCAAAGGGACGCCGAATATCACAGGTGTTGCACTGATATTGCAGTATTTTCTTCTAACCAGCAGAAACTATTTCAGCAGCAGAGGTGACATTAATCGATGAAGGTTGGATGCTGTTCACTATCCAGGTAAAAGCTTCATGCAGATGGCCAGAGACTGCCTCCACTCATGGATCACAAGACAACCAGCATGAAATATGCTTAGAACTTCGTTTTGTTGTACTGGTCAGTGCGGCGTTTTAACCACATGTGAAAGAAATCCTGGACGATATTTCAAAGGATACCCACGAGAACCAGATAAAATTACGCTACTTATTCCTCACATCTGGAGGAAGAAGATCGCGAAACATAGAACCAGAGTAGCAAGCATCCATGTAAACTACCAACTCGTTATACATTCTGTTTGAATACATGCTGGCGAGGACATCATTGAATTCCGCGGCATTGAGCTGTAGCAAGGAATAAAAAAAATCGTATAAGCTCAAACGAATATAGCTGAACGAGTAACGAGGTTTGGTAATACTTTCCACCATGATCAGTTGAAGGAAAACTTTTGAATGCGCCTTGTCTAGTTACCCTGAAGTTATGGCTGATTACTCTGATTATTGTTTTTGATTTCCCGGAATATCAGTGCAACCATGAGATCTGTACTGTTAGCCAGCTATCCTGGTGACAATCAGGAAATCTCCCTTGGAAAAGACACACAAGCACCGCTGTTTAGTTGAATAAGCTTGCGGTCAAAAATCGGAATAATAAGTGGCCGGTTTGAACAACTAATTTCCAGATCACTGCGAGTGCTAATTTTACGGGCGCTTTTAACAAGTTCCACACCCCATCCGCTGTGATCGACTAAGTAGGTTTGCTTGCATAATGAAAATGGCTGTAATGATCAAGAGCCAAATGAACACCCTCCTTACAAAGTCATCGCTATAAGGGTGAATGTAGTCTTCATATAAGTAAATTGCAGCATTGGTCTTGTGCTGCTCGCTGAAGATTGAAATGCTGTCCTCTAAGTCAATCCAAACTTTGGGAGAATTCCTAGCCCCAATCATGTTTCACAAAAATTTATGGTGATCTCCATCGAACTGGAAAACTTCAAATGTCATCTCACTGTCTACACACTGTAATTAGTACAGAATGAACAATAGTCCCCACGATGAATGGATTTTCTATGTGAATTGTCACTCGAAAAGAAAGCCACCAGTGATGTGGATCCCTTGTTTGAAGAATGAGCAACGTTACGTCCTGAATAGGTGCGGATAAAGCTGGCTGTTGATTGGTCGCCTGTGGCCGAACGGTTAAATTGTGCAAATTTTAGGCATAGAAATGTTGATTCGCAATAAAGAAGAAAAAGTTGTACTTTGCCTCTCGGCTCTCCACCACAGACTGCCTTCTTATATAGAAATACAGAAGTCTGTTCGTACTACCAAAGACTAGCGCTGTCCATCACGGGAGAATTTTGACGGACGCGTTCTCCGAAAGGATTTTCGTATCATCTGCGCCTCATGGGTGACCGTTTACGACCAGCTTCCTTACTTATAAAATGTTCCTTCGTTTAGCAGTCTAAATGAATCAACTACGAAATCGTGTAAGCTGAGCGACCTTCAACTTAGTAAAACAAAATCAATGTGATGCTATCATTTAAAGCACCTGGGCGAGACCATCCGAATAGAGCAGAGAGAGGCCCAAACCACACAGCTTCTGTTTCACTTCTCACTTAAGGTGTAGGCTAGTTTTAATTATATACTGCCACTTTTATAAAGAATTACCGATAACAACTCATTAACATATGTTCGTCTAAGCCTGCACACACGGTTCACAATATAGGCTCCCTTTGAAAGGCTGCGTGCTATGAGCCTCGTTACGATAATTAACAAAACTTACTGATCCAACTGGAAAGGATATACTGTGAACAGCACCATGGCCAGTGTAATAGATGAAAATGTTGTCATCAGGACCGCTGTAAGCAAACGGAAATGTTAAGGTGGTCTTGAAGAGTAGCCCATTGAGTGACGTTCTCGCGCATGGGGAAGCAGAACATAAAGGCCGCTGAAACAGGAATTCGATGCTTATATTCCCCAAAAATATGGGTTTTGTCATAAGCTGCAGGAGCCGTGTCGTAACGCAAACGGCATTGGCTAACGGGTGATCAAGGAAATCGGAAGGGTATAAAAGATCCGCAGTTCATTTCTCTCCATGGCACAGGAGTATGGCGTGTAAACGGGATGTGTCCAACTTTGCGTCATTTATCCGCACAATACCTAGGCTGCTTATCCATTGAGCAATTAACACGAATGAAATGAATGGATAACAAACACGCAGGTCAGAATATCGTTTAGTACACGCTACTGGATATATTCAATAGCTACATTAACAGTTACTCGACTGCTGTTTTCACGGCCACATGAATATGGGAATGGAAAATCCGTTCCTTGGACTTCCGTTGGTCTCTTTTTGTATCTTGTCCAAGCACAACGACGCCTGTCTGAATACATCGAAACTTGTTAACAGTGGCGATTGCTGTCCATGGGATAATAAAAAACCACAGTCTGAAACTGAACAGCGGCAAGTGAGGAAGTTTTATGTGGTCTTGAAGAGCAGCTTGTCTGTTGGCGCAGGTCGACTATTGTTTTAAAGCTGCGGTGACATCAACTCGTCTAATTTCGCATGGCCACGTGAATATGGGAATGTAAACCGATAATTTTTGGACACATCACGGGATCTAGTAGCTCCTACGGTTTTGAACGCATGAAGGTGGTTGGAGGAAGTTTCCTACTCCACCTAGTTTTATCATCTTGCACGTGAAAAGGTCACACTAAGCTCTTTCGAAATCGCGTCCTTCGTAGCGTAATTAAATCTGCACACACTACTGCGTAACAGTACTATAATCAGGGCGAAGCGAATATAAATTTTGAATGCGGACATCCAATGAACCATGTGTTCCGTTCGTTGGTCGTTGGACAAGAACATGCTTATCTGTTCTCTGATCCTAGTGTTACGTTTGCAAATTTTCCGTCACCAACCTAAATGACATCATGATTGAATGATTGAGTCTGCTGTCCCTGTTTACCTCTCTGACTGGCTGACAGGGGCATACCGTACTCTAGTTCCTATTGGTCCGTTTGTGGCTCCATTGCGTTGCGGTCTGTATTCCAAGAATATGCCTAACGATATATTTTGTCTGAAAATGACGTTGCTGCCTACGGTCTGCATTCCCTGATTTCTATGAATGCCTTGAGTATATTCTGTCTGCGGACCATTTGTTCATTGTTTGATTGATCGGCTACCAATTTCTACGGCCTAATTCTCCACATCCATTTGGCTCTTGATCCTAATTCTGTGTTTAGTGTTGCATTTTGATTTCCTGTTTTATCGTAGCCTGGCTTTTCGGAGTTTTTTGGGTGAATGCTCTGTTTTCATTTTGCTAGGTACTTAGTTGCCTTTGATTACCTGCTATATAGATTATCTTTTTCCTACATCTCAACAGACTACGTAAGGTATCGGAAATACTGAATCAGTAAACACGCACAGAGAGCCAGTAATCACGGATTCTGAATTCATGGAGTGTATAACTGACGGAATTAGAGATGGATGTTTTGCAAATGAATGACGTTTTCCTGGTATCCTTGCCTCCACCCGTAAGCCAACACTTCACTTCTCGTCATATGCGGGTCAAGAAGCCGCGGAAAGATTCTCAAAAGTTAAACCGTGATGCTACGGGACCACACGGAACCTAAGGCTAGGCAGGTTTCTTAGAATCTGAGAGTATTGTCGGTGAACCACGATGCGAATTAGAGGGAGCAGATCCCCTTAGGTGCTTTCTGGGAGCTTCGCATAAAGAGATTGTGTATCACTTGTCCTGCGAGAATACTAAATCCTCGTTTCATAAGCCCGAAAACGCTGACCTGCAAGATTAGTATTTTAGCTGTGAT